AAAAAAAAAAAAAAAAAACAATGTAATAATAAGAACTAAAATGCAACACAAATATAAATTGACTGACAATGTCCACAGCGTGTGACTTAACCGTCTGCATAAGCTCACTCTCCCCCGAGTCTTCATTAGCTTTCGAGAAGATTATGTCGGGCTGCCCTTTGGTCCCACCACCAAAGCACGTTCTTCTCTCGGCTCACTAGTTTTTATCTGTACAAATTGATCCTGTCAAGCAAGTTGTTGGGCGCATGCATATTATCGTCTAACTACCCGAACCGTAAGTAATTGCTACGGGTTCAAGGAATTTGATATTGTAAGTGAATCGATCAAGTACTTGACCCTTTCTACGAGTGACTCGGTTAGGAAAGCTTCGATTTGTGTTCCAAACATTGTTAAGTTTGCGTTGAAAGCTCATATCCCCCAACTGGATGTTTTCTCTTTCGTGACGACTTACTTCCAAGAAGTGGGAGTCAGATATAAACCTCTTCTCGCATGTGCTTGATCCTTGTATCAACATCGAGACATGGTTTTTGAAGCTAAAACGAATGCTTGAGGCATTGAGTGTGGTCTCGGATTTCTCTGCCTCTGAGGATGAAGGGCAACACGTCCGAAAGGCCGCAAGACGGGGAAATTCGTCTTAGATTGAAATGGAGATGTCCGACTGTATTAGGACGCATGTAGCTCGGTTTTCAATTGTAATTTATGTTGAAATTTATTNATAACACATTTCAGGATGTATTTTATTTTATAAAATATAGACACACTACATTTCAAGTTTTATTTTGTTATATGTTATAAAATTACTACTGCAATTAAGTTAATATGGTTCCACACTACAACGGAGATAAAGGTCGAAGATAGTCTCTGATAGGTCGGAAAATGTGCGTGTTTTATATATTTAATAGTGTATTTTTATATGTTTAATTTAATTGCATATTTGTATTTTTTGACCTATTTATTATTTGAATGGATTCATACACATTGAAGTTTTTATATTTATTTTCAGCTTATTGGAATATTTCTGTACGCAAAGCATTAGACGGAAGTTTACGTAATTGATTATCGGGCCTCCAATATCAACCCATTTTCGGCCAGAATATTGGTTGCGGATGGCAGATTATACAAAAGTGGCCCAAATTCATGATTAGAGGAAGATTCTGAAATAAAGGGCAATTACAAACATGAGGTGGCGAGCCACGTGGCCATCAAAATGGAGATTGAATGGAGATTGAAGAGTATGCAATTTGTTGGGGACTTATTTGTTGAGAGTCCACTCACGCACAAAAGATAACTTCGGGAGGGAATACAGAGAGCAGAGAGAAACGCACGGATTGAAGAAAGAAGGCTACACACGCGGAGGGAAGCCGCACTCGCACGAGGGAGATATTTTATTCTCTCTTTTATTTATTTATATTTATTTTTATTAGTATGTTAGGCTAGTATTTTATCCAGTTTTAGGGGATGTTTGAACCCTAACTTCGATTTGTCTATGGATTGAAGGATTTATTTTTATCGTTGGTTAATTAAGACGCCGTATTTATTTTTGTTGATGAGTTGATTCATGCTATCTGTGTTTAATGTATATGAATTATGAGTATTTAATTTGGTTTGGCCAGCTACGTTAAATGTTCATAGTTTAATTGCTAGATTTGGGACTTTAATCCGTAATTGTTATTGTCTCGTTTCATTAGTAGTAAACTAGGGGTCGTGCATCTCTAGGGTAGCGTGAGCATAAGTTAAATGGTCCGAACTTTTGCGTCCATTGTTTAGACTGATCTATTTTCCTAGAGATTAATGCTGCTAGTGAATTAAATCTGGAGAGCTTATTCTAGGTTGTCCACTAGGTAGGTAGTCGAAGAGCCTATTTCGATTAAATATTCTGTAACGGAAAATTCGTTTAACAGAGCTTGTTGTTAGCTAGGGTCGGTAATTTGTTAGCAATTTAAAGAAGGTGTCGAAATTGATTAACGGTAGATTTAGATTGGGTGATAACTGAACCGAAAACTGGACTTCTCTTATTTTATTTGATTTTTATTTTATTTTGTTATTTTTATTTTTATAAACTCAACCCCCCTATCTTTATTTGCTTTCGTAGTTTAATTCAATTAATACGAGAATTATCACGATTTAATTCCTGCTCCTTGTGGGATCGACCCTTACTCGCCACTACTACTAGTTAGTAGAGGTTAGTCGAGGAAAAGTTTATAAATTTAAATTTGCCGCGACGCGACGCGCGGTCAGTCTCAAGATACAATTCTGCCTGATATGCCCATAAGTAAGAAGAAATAAAAAATAACATAATACTTCTGTAGGAAACAATGCTGGTGGAGAAACTGAATAGATGTGAAGCATCCTTATGTCCATTTGCAAGTGTAAATGACAGAAAAAAAGGCATTGTGTAGAGGAAAAATAAGTCCATCAATCCCAAATATATTGCAACCTTTGTCTCAGAAGATAGTTCAGACTTCCAATCTCAGGTAAAAGTACTTCCAGTTTACCATATTTTCGTGACTTTGAGCTTTCGCATATGATCACGGGACGACTAAGCTATAATGTTTTCTCATGTTCAACATGTTCCATAATCTGAAGAAGAACAAGCAAGCAAAGTATCATTTCAATAAAACGTTGAACATTTCGCAAACGACCGAAATCATGAGCAGAACACCAATCGCAGAAGAGCAAGCAACATTAAGATATATCTGATCTATATATATAAAGAGGTTTGATTATTTATTAAATAATAACTATTTCTCTAGAAAAAATATATTTACCATTTCACGAAATCAAGTTAAAAATTTATGATATATTTCCAATAATCACTTATGGAAATTGCGGCCGTTATTTAAAAAAATATTCAGGCCATAAAAAGTACATTTTTATGATACCTTACACTACAAAAATATGATGTAATTCCAATAGAAAATTCCACCGGAAATATATTTTAGTGAAATTCCAACGGCAATTCCAATGGATATTCCAATACTATTATTTTCGTTGGAATTTTCCAATGGATTCCAACAGAAATTCGAACCAAAATATTTCGTTAGAATGAGTTTTCCATTAAATTTTGACTATTCCAACGTACATTTTTCAACGGTTGAAATATGGGTGAAAATAAAATTTCTAATGGAAATTCAAACGGTAAAAAACCGTTCGAATAATAGCCGATAAAATTCCATTTTATAAGATCCAATGGAAAACCCATTCCAACAGAATAATTCTGTTGGAATTTTCGCTGGAATCATTCTAACGGAAGCTATACCATTGGAATATCCGTTAGAATTTCCATTGGAATATATTACTGTTTGTCCCATTTTTGTGTCTTTATTTCATGCTTATTTTCTTTTCGTTTTTCCCCATTTGTAGGATTTTTGTAGTTTATTTGGTCCGTTTCGTTCGTTTTGTGTTTTTGTCTTTAGTTTATATTTTTGTATCTTTTTGCCGTGTTTTGCTTCGTGTTTTTCTGTGTTGTGTTTTCAGTAGGTAGGTTGTGCCGGTCGAGGTTAGAATTGCGTGAGCCGAGACTGTGATATCAAGAACATCCGTTACCGGGCCCAGAAAATTCGAGGAAGGACTGAAACAGCCGACAGAAAACTGTGCCCAGAAAATCTCGCGACTCGCGAGATGTCTCGCGACTCGCGAGTCATGTCGCGACTCAAGGGAATGTCGCGGCCCGCGGAAAAAACAGAAGCTTATGGTGCAGTGTCGATTAGCACTCGCGACTCGCGAGATAATGTCGCGACTCGCGACACTGTGTCGCGACTCGCGAGATAGTTCGCGACTCAACCCCAGAAATTTATATTTTGACAGCGCGCGACTCGCCAGGAAGTCGCGACTCGCGAGCGAAGAAAAGGTCCATCTCGCGACTCGCGAGTAAGTCGCGACTCGCGACTTTGTCGGGCGCGAATTTCGAGGACGGGATTTTTAGAGCAGAATTCGACCCTAGGGTTCATTATTCAGTTTCCAGACTTCGTTTTTACACTTTTTCTCTAGAGAAAACCATTCCTTTTCTTTCTTTTGCACTTTTGAATTGTTTTGGGAGATTGACAACTCCTATTTCTTGCTTTGGATTTGGATGCACTTGGATTTGACATTGGATTCCTTTCTTTAATCGTAAGTTATTTTTCTCAATCTTTTTGTTGATGATGATGGCTTGGGTTAATTTGAATGTTGATGTTGAATTCCGTATGAGTAGCTAAATCTATCTGCTAGGGATAGGGGATAATTGATTAGGTTCAATTATAATTGCTTGTTCTTAATTGTTCATATCTATGCGAGTTGAGTTCAATTTAAGGTTAATAGATTGATCACCTATATAACCTAGTAAATCATTGTTTAGAACCGAAAGGGGAGACATTGGTCGATTTAGGCTCGTTTAGAATAGACTTGTTCGTCAAAGTATTGTCTATGAGTTGCTGGCTTTGATAGTCAATCGTATATGTTCACTCTCTTGTTACGAAGAGTTATTGAGAGTGAACCTCTAAACGATAGACGATTCATTTCCTTTAACCGAGCAATTGATTGCCGGTAGTTGTGTAAGAACCGAAAGCAGTTGTCCCCGATTCCCTAGCTATTTAAATTCTCAGTTAATTCGTTACTGTTCATTTCGTGCTTTATTTAATTTAAAGTTGGTAGTTGATAATCGAAACCCAAATCATTGAATTAGATTGTTTAGGATTTTTATCTTCTTCTGTGATTGAATAATCGAACAATTATATCCGGCTAACCTTCCTTGAGAGATACGACCCGGGGAACGAATCTTTCGATTCGGTACTCGGTAAAAATTTATTTTGCTACAACAATTACCGTAGGATTTTCCGTTGAATATGGCATTTTTTTTAGTGTTAATTACTCAAATCATGTGGATTCAGCTGATTTACCCAAATATGAGAAATTCAACTGTAATAGCGATTATGTTATTTGTTAAAAAATTCCGACTAAATTGTGTAATTTATTATTTAATAAGTATTTTATATTTTTAGTGTAATTCTTTTGTGAAATGCACTTTTAATATAACTTAATTATGTAAGTTTTTTAAATTCGACTGATTTGCTCAATCTGCAAATATTTAATACAATTATGGAAATAGCGACAACAATAATCAATTATGTGATTTTGCTAAAAACTGTTCTAAAAAAATTGCGTTAATGTCAGTTTTTATCTAAATATTATTTAATAAATGTTATTCATATTTTGTGTATTTAATTACTCAAATCGTGGATAATTGTTCATGTGTGATTTTACACCATATTTATGTAGTATCTAGAGTTTATTCATTGCATTATTGGTGTATAAATTGCATATTTGTGTTTTAATTCTCTATTTGTTGGAAAGGTATTACACGTGCTTGTTTTGTAGATAGTTCCACATCTTTGTAGAGCTTTTGGCTATTGGAGGCGCATGGTGAGTACCTAGGACCCCCGGGATGATGATGGATTGATGCACGGATGAGAAAAATGGAAGAAACGAGTGAAACGGACAAAAACGAGCAAGCAGGATTGTGACACGGGCACCATGCCCGTGTCAGAGACCGTGTCACCTCAACAGAGACAATTCGTAACCTGGGAGCTGACACGGGCTGCGACACGGACCGTGACAAGGGCAGAATGGTCGTGTCGCGCGCGCAGGCTGTTTTTTATATCTTACCTATTTTGAAAAGGAGAAAGGTTTTTGACATTATAAAAGGCATATTTACCCTATTTTGAGAGAAAAAACGTGAATACACATTAGAGAAGCCCTAGAACACACAAGGGAAGCAATTGGGAAGCAAAAGAAGATCCAACTACGAAGGGATCAAGAAGATTGAAAGATCGACGAGATTCCTAGTTTTTATTTCTTCTTTCCTTTTTAACTTTTATTGATCATGTCGATTTCTAATATGTCTATGTATTTGAATTCGAACATGAGTGGCTAGTTTATTTGATTCTAGGACTTGGTAGTAGATTAATATGTTGGGATTTTGGATGAATTATTATAATTAATTGTTTTTCTTTTGAACCCTATTCAAATATTTTGTTCTTGTTTCATGTTTAGCACTTGATCAGTGCTTTTACATGTTTGACAATATTGTTCATAATTCGAGAGATGAGTTCAATGTTAGGTCTTTAATATTTGACACAATTTACTTGCTTGAATCGAGAGATTAGTAGGTCGTTGTGAGGATATTAGATCTTTTAATCTATTTGGAGTTAAATTGCATGTGTTGAGTGGAGACGCTAATATATGTGATTTAATCTACGGTTTTATCGATCTCGAGAGGGACGATAAGCTAAATTTGTGATCATCTTATAGGGTAGATAAAGGAAACATTCAGTTGTGATATTTCTGAAGGAACCCAACTATTAATTGAAACCAAAGTCTTAGAATCTATCATTCTTATATATCTTCTTACGTGTTCCTCTAGCTAGTTCTTTATTTTTGTTTTATTTCTTATTGATTATATTTTCTTAGTTTAGTTAATCCATCTCACATTCGATCGTCTAAATAAAGTTGACACTATCATAATCTGGTACTTGATATATTAATTATTTGGTCTCTTGGGATACGACCTTGCTTGCCACATACTACGAGTGAAGCCGTACACTTGCGGTCGAGCTTTAAAAATATAGGCGAACAATAATTAAGAAAATAATTAAACCATAAAAATTTACATTTTTAAGATATCCTAATTACGCAGATCATGTAAATTTGGTTGATTTATTCAATAATAACTTTTTATAAAATTGTTCTAAAATAATTGTGTTAATGGCAGTTTCTATTTAATTATTTTTAATAATTGTTTTATGGGTCTTTTTCTTTTTTTTTTTTATTTATATAAAAAGTGTGTCTCGCTTTTGTTTTGTACGTTGGGTAATTAATTTCATAGTAACACTGAATATCATTTTTTGTATTTTATCAATAAAGTATGAAATCAAATTATTTGGTATACTATATATTGATCCAATATACCCGCTTATGATAAAAAAATGGTGTCTCAATATTTTATTTTTTTATATTGCTAAACATTTAACTCGATATTAATGAAAGAAAAATCTGGAGAATAGTATGATCGATACTTCTTTTTAAATGCGAGTGGACATAGCAAATTATTTGTTATATATATTGATATAAATTGATGATCTATTTAAATTACACATATCATTCACACAAGTTAACAACCATAACAAAAAAGATTGAGATAACGAATCGTACCATAACAATCAATCAACTCATACCATAATTGATCAACAAGTAACATTCCAATAGGATTTTGTAACATCCCAATTGATCAACAAAATAATATTCTAAATAGAATTCGTTCAAATCACAAAAGTTATACCGTATTAATGAATATCTTTTACCCGAAATTCACGTTAGTTTATAAGAAAAGGAGTAATACTAGTAAATACATGAATTGTTAATTATCTTGCTACAAGGACACTTATGTATAAACAAAATTGTAGTAAAATAACTTGTCAAATTAAGAAATTTGGTAATTTTTGCCCCTGTATTCCACGCGAATCNACCACAATATTATTCCCTATAAAAAGGAATAGTAAAAAACCAGATGGTAGTCTATTTAGTATTTAATTATTATTATTGTTATAAAGAATTACCTCTTTTTTTTATTAACAATAACCTGCACTAGGGTTGATTCATTGAGCAGACAAAATCGTTCTCACATCACATTATCTCTTATGGAAAAGAAAAAGCAGGCGGCAGAAACGGAGGAGATTCCGTCCACAGCCATGGACGATACAATATCCCAAGTGCCAATACATATACTTCACCACATTCTCTGTTTCCTCTCCCAGAAAGAAGCTGTGAGAACATGTCTCCTCTCCAAACAATGGCGCCACATGGGAACAACCCGCCCCAACCTCGACTTCTTTGAAGAATGGTTCGACAACACACAAGAAAATTTTGTCTCCGTGGTCGACCGAACCCTACAAGGATACAGTGATCAAAACCTCTCCATACACAAACTCCATCTCCACTTATCGAGGGTCTCACGACCGGTCATCTCCCTTCTCGACAAATGGATCTCGATGATACCCGCCCTCAAAATAAAATCGTTCAAATTCAACATTCGTTCATCTTCTCCTGCGTATTACGACCTGCCCTCGGCAGTGTTCTTAGCCGAGTCCCTCGAAGAACTACACCTGTGCCAATGCAAGCTGAGCCCGGTCGAGAGCGTGCGGTTCAAACGTCTGCGCTCGCTCACCCTCGAACAGGTACAAGTTGATGACGGGACTTTGGAGAACATAATATCGGGCTGCCTTTTGCTCATGCGCCTGGTCCTTAAAGAATGTCAGGAGTTGAGAAACGTTAGGCTGAGCGAGGTGGCATCACCTGGGCTCAACCACTTTGAATTGAATAATTGCCAGTGGATCGAAGGGCGTAGCATCGAAATCGATGTCCCGAATATTGAGATGGTCTCCATCGTGGGCCTATGGATTTGGTCTCAATGCCAAAGCACGTTCTTTTTGTCTCGTCTCACAAGTTTGCATCTCTGTGCTGTGATCCTGTCGAGCGAGTCGTTCGACTTGTTATCGTTCGGCTGCCCAACTCTTGCGAGCTTGACCCTAATTAATTGCTCCGGTTTCGAGGAATTCCATCTTGCAAGTGATTCGGTCAAGTTCTTGCGCATCTCGACCTGCGAAAAATTTCTTAAAGGAGTTACGATTTCTGCCCCCAACATTCTCAGTTTTACGTTCATTGCCGGTATTCCCCAGGCGCCGGACACATTCTCTTTCACCACAAATTCTCGGTTTTGGTACTCAAAAGTAATCCTCTCTTCGTATAAGCATAATCCCGACCTCACTTGGTGGTTCCTTAAGCTGAGACGAGTGCTCAAGGCACTAAGTGGGTCTCAGATTGATCTGACTCTGCAGATGAACAGCGGCAGTCATCTGGACATGCCATGTCGTGCTGTTGATGGCAGTCGTCTTCTCAGCGAAGAGCCGCCTATGATGTTGATGAACTTGGAATTTACAACTTCTAAATGTCACACGGAATCTTGGTACTCGGATTTTACGAATGATTTGTTTCGTGTTTGTCGACCGAGTCACGTATGGGATTGTAGGCTCGTGGGCAGGTCGGCCAGGAACCATAGGCTCTCAGAGTTTCAGTTCAATATCTTGCTTGCAAACATGAGCCTCAGGACCGAGACCTACTTTTGGCGGCATGATTTGGAGCAAGTTCACGTGAACACTGTCGATGGGCAGCTCGTTCAGTGGACGGACCTTTCAGAATTGCGCAACAGAGCGTATGACGAGTTAATATGCCTTAAGTTGAAATGGAGAGATCAGAAGACGGCATAAGTACTGCAAACTATCTATGCACTCTTGCTTTTCTTGAAACTTGAAATATATCCAGTTTTCTTTCTCTCCGGTTGAAGGCCTAGGCTTATTTTGTATGCTATGAGTGTTATGAAGTCAGGGTCAGGATCTGGTCAAGTGTTTGATATCAGAATAGGTTGCCAAACGTAGTAATAAGACCAAAAATCCTGCACTTATATAAATAGACTGACAAATGACGTTTTTTGCCTTGAAATTTGATTTGAAAATTCATTTTGGACAAGTGAAATATACAAATCATGTGTTCAAATTTTTTCTTTGAAATGTGTTAATTTGCATATAATGAGTTTCACATTTTCACAGTTCTGATACCAATTGTTACAAAGTTAGTCTTTTTACCTTAGACCACTGGAAGTCTTGGAGGACAACGTAACCATCTTATATAAAGGATATAAAAGAAAGGTATGGCTGTCATTATGATTTATCACGCATTAATACATGTTTGATTTAATATATGGTTGAAAGATTGACTTGTTCAAGTAATTTGATCTTGTAAGTGATTCCATCAAATACTTTACCCTTTCTACGAGTTACTCAGTTCGGAAAGGTTCAATTTGTGTTCCAAACATTGTTAAGTTTGCGTTGAAAGCTCGCATCCCCCAACCGGATGTATTCTCTTTCGTGACAACTTACTTCCAAGAAGTGGGAGTCGGATATAAACCTCTTCTAGCATGTGCTTGATCCTTGTATCAACATCGAGTCATGGTTTTTGAAGCTAAAACGAATGCTCGAGGCATTGAGTGGGTCTCGAATTTCTCTGTCTATGAGGATGAAGGGCAACACGTCCGAAAGGCTGTTGTTCAGTACAGTTGACAGCTATCCTCTTCTCAGTGAGGAGCCACCTGTGGTGGTGGAGAACTCGGTATTGGTTTCAGCTCAACATCCTGTTTGTAAGCAAGAATCTCGTGACCATCAACCGAACCCTGCTTTTGGCAGCACGATTTGGAGCAAGTGTTTGTGAGAACTCTCGATGGGAAACGATGGCAGCTCATGCAGTGGACGATGCTGGTGGAGTTGCGAAATCGGGAGTAAGACGGGAAAATTCATCTTTGATTGAAATGGAGATGTAAGAATGTATAAGGACGCACGTAGCTCGGTTGCTTTTATTGAAATTCAAACATCCTGTCTTATTTCCCTCTCTTTCCCTCATTAACCGCTTTGATTCTTGGTATCATTGCTTTCAAAACTTTCCAGGTCTTGTATTAGAAAGAGGCTACATCATTTTATTTTATCATAAACCACAGGCTCACAGAGTTTCACGTGAACACTGCCGATGGGCAGCTTGTTCAGTGGACGGACCTTCAGAATTGCGAAACAGAACTTATGACAGGAAAATATGCCTTGTGTTGAAATGGAGGGAACAAAAGACAGGCATAACTACTGCAAACTCTCTAAGCCCTCTTGCTTTTCTTGAAACATAAGTTGAAATGGAGAGGTCAGAGTTTACTTTCTCTCCAGTTGAAGGCCTAAGCCTATTTTGTATGCTGTGATAGTGTTATGAAGTCAGATCAGGATCTGGTCAAGTGTTTGATTTTAGAATAGGTTGGAAAAAAAAATGTAATAATAAGAACAAAAATGCTGCACAGATATAAATAGACCCACAAATAACGTTTTTTGTCTTTAAATTGGTTTTGAAAATTAATTTTGGACAAGTGAAATATACAAATGGGTTTAAATTTTGAGGAAATTACACCCCCCACTAATATATCTCATTTTAATATCACTTTTGAACCCCTTATATTTTTATTTATAAAATTACCTAAATGACAAACAAATATTTCAATTGTACCTAAAAGACTACAAAAACCGTTATCAAATTTTTTAAATGCTAATGAGAGATTTTAGGAGAATTAAAGATACACTTACCAAAAAATGGGGAACAAATAAGCAAGCACGTCTCCTACCTTTTTTCTTTTCCCAATCTCCTTCACTCTGCAACAATACGTCTCCTACCTTTTTCTTTTCCCAATCTCCTTCAATGGCCAAAACTAAAATCCCTCGGCCTCATCGAAAAATTCCGACAGATGATGCCGACGACCCACCTCATCTAAGATCGAGTGATCGTCTCCGTAAAATCCACCAAAAAGATCAACCAAAACTTGTTCAAAAAAAACTAATTTTCGAAAGAGATATAAACCCTAATCCTAGTCGCAAGTCTTCCGGCAAGAGTAGAATGCAAAAATCTACTTCATCTCCCGGCTCAGACGACTTCCAGTCAGACCCAAATCCGCCGAAAAATAATCGCCGAACCCGTAAAGCGAAGAAGACTAAACCCACCGAAATATTTTTGGGCGAAGAAGACCCTCATTCCGAGTATGACAGTCAAACTGAAGAAAATGGGAGTGAAGAAGATTTGGCCGAAGAAGATTCCCCGCTTGAAACGTTGAAGGAGAAAATAGAGAAACGGCCCAGAAAAGGAAAAAAAGAAGAGAAATTATCGAAGAAGAGAAGAATGCATAACACCGACATCCACAGGGCCCCTCGACATGTTCAAAAAAGGATTTTGTATAAGGTAATTTATATGATGAATTTAAGAATTTTTGTTATCGGTGTTCAATTTATTCAGTTTCATTTTTATTGTTTGTGGTCCACACACAACGGCTGGATTTTTTGTTGAGTGTTACAGGTAGATTTTGTCTTTGGCAGATTATTTCTTATGTATATAGTCAAATGTTAATGGTCCACACCACTCTATTTGACTTGAGCATCATATTTTTTTAAGTTGCTTTATGCTTTACAATCACATAGTGGCTGGATTTGACTTCAATAATTTTTATCTGATTTTTACTGTCACCTGGTATGCTAACTGACATGGTTTTTTGTTTTGGATTATATTCGGTTATGGTCATTATATTAGATATACGGTCAATGAATCAACTACATTTAGTATATTGCTAGTATTTTTCAAGTATATGCGTGATATGTTTTAATATCGTTTGAGCAGTAGTAATGGATCTATTTTCTTATAAGAGAACAACAAATTTGGTTGATATAATTGAGAAATAATATGATAGATTAGAAAAGCCAAAATCTACATTACAGGTGATATACTAGATGTTTTTTTCAGTATATTTTGTAGTACACCTTTCAAGATATGCAAGGTTTTGTTTCTGGTTCACCTTTTATTGAACAGCACATGTTTTTGTTGCTAATATTGTTCCTTATAATATATATATTTTTTCCTTGTGTATTTTTTACAGGAATGGGAATTGCTCATTCCGCATCCGTTGGATATTAATGTGAAAGTTCAAAACAGCAATGACAATACCAGAGATGGATCCACGATATTTGATATCAAGAAGACGCTTACGACCGAGCAATTGAAACTTTTTAGGCGTTCAGCATTTGGGAAGTTCTTGGATCTCCCTCATTGCATCGTACAGAACCAGCTCATTAACAGTATACTCCTACGTGAGGTTCACCAGAATAGGAGCGACGAAATCTGGTTTGATTTTGGAGGGAAGTTACTCCGGTTTGGGATTGAGGAGTTTGCTATTATAACAGGATTGAACTGCATTGGCTCGATAAAAAAATTGAATATTCCCAAGATATCCAGTGGTCTCCATGACAAGTATTTTGATGGCATCGAATTACGCCGGAACCACATCAGGTGGCAGTTTATCAAGAAATCATGGTCGTGTGATGAAGATGCAGTGAAATTGGCCAAATTACATCTACTGGCGAATTTCCTGATGGGCTCTCAAGAGATTCTTCGCATAGAACGATGTTATGTTGACCTAATTGATAGTGCGGAGTGCGATGATCTCGCCTGGGGAAGAGAAGTGTTTGATTTTACTCTTTTGTATCTGAAGAAATCAATTCAGACGAGAGAGCAAATGCACATATTCAAGACCGATAGATCTAACCTGTATAGGTGTTATGGTCTTATATTGGCTCTCCAGGCATGGTTCTATGAGGTGTGCGACACCGCGGAAGGTGTGGTATGCACGTACGTTGGTGGAAATGATATTCCAAGGTTGAACAAGTGGGAAGTTCGGGGTACTTATAGCCGTATTTTTATGGAAAGGACCTTCTTAAATCTAAAACACTCCAAGGTAATATCTTATATTATCTTATTTTTCTA